CAGGCGGGGCTCTCTGCCCGGGAAGCTCCCTGGCCTGAAGCACGGCTGTCGGGCTGCCTGCATTCTGATGTATACGTTCCTTGCAAGTAAAGAAAGCACAGTCAGGGACAACAAAGAAAATATGAAGCTAACTTTTCTCTCGGCTGTGGGTATGCAAATCCTTGGATGTTAGCGGGATTTTACTGGTGCAGCTGTGAGCACGGTTTGACCTGAGAAATGTAAAAGAATCGGTGAAATTGGGTCCTATGCCCTGGACATTGGTTGCCTTTCAGGTATTTGTTGATAAAAGCCTGGACATCCTGCTAGGCATTGACCTGGAGCCCAGATTGAGCTTTGATCTTACCACCCACAGCGCTATCTCCTTAACGTAGGGAGGAGGGTAGTGGGAGAAAGGGAGGATCACTGCAGAGCTTCGCTCCAGTCTAGAAGCTGCTCCTTGTGTATGATGCCTTTGCTATGCTACCCATGTGCATAGGTTTCCTGTCATCACAGAGCGTCTTCAGGACCACTAGAATAAATTTGGCAATCTTTTTAAAGGTTAGGGAAGGGATCCTTACCTGGTAATCTCTAAGCTTGAAAAGCAATTCAGGCCAGGCATGAAATGATGTCTCACAACAGTTTTTTTGTATACAGTGTTTCAAGTGCAATCCCCCACCACTATCAGTCCAAGACTGTTTTACCAAAAAGACTGTTGGTAATCTGTAGGAAATTCACACAGACTTACCTCTTCTGATGAAATGAATCATGAATCATTAAATGTGATTTGACAGATCAGGTTTGTCTTAGTATATAACCTTTTATAACATCTGGTGGACAACAAGTTAAACGTGAGCCAGCAGTGTGCCCTTGTGGCCAAGAAGGCCAGTGGTCGCCTGGGGTGCATTAGGCAGAGTGTTGCCAGCAGGTGGAGGGAGGTGATCCTGCCCCTCTCCTCAGCCCTGGGGAGGCCCCACCTGGAGTACTGTGTCCAGTGCTGGGCTCCCCAGTACAAGAGAGACATGGCGCTCCTGGAGAGAGTCCAGCGGAGGGCTACCAAGATGATGAGGGGACTGGAGCATCTCTCCTATGAGGAAAGGCTGCGAGAGCTGGGCCTGTTCAGCCTGGAGAAGAGAAGACTGAGGGGGGATCTGATCAATGTGTGTAAGTATCTGAAGGGGGAGTGTCAAGAGGATGAGGCCAGCCTCTTCTCCGTGGTGCCCAGCAACAGGACAAGAGGCAACGGGCAGAAACTGAACCACAGGCAGTTCCATCTGAACCTGAGAAAAAACTTCTTGACTGTGAGGGTGACAGAGCATTGGAACAGGTTGCCCAGAGAGGTGGTGGAGTCTCCTTCACTGGAGGTATTCAAAAGCCGTCTGGATGTGATCCTGGGCAATATGCTCTAGAGGACCCTGCTTGAACAGGGAGGTTGGACTAGATGATCTCCAGAGGTCCCTTCCAACCTAAACGATTCTGTGATCTAATTTGAGCCCTACTATGTATATCAATATTTTATTAATAAGGAGGTATTTGGCTTATTACTATCTGCTTATTACTAATCTATATTATTTTATACCCCCCTCCAAGAGTGTAGAGGTTATACTTTGAACATAAGGGGTTACTTAGGGTATGTTCACACCGTTAGCATGGCTGCCTCCCTGTCACTCTCCAACACCAGTGTCCCACTTCTCCACGCTGCATCCATGCCAGCTTGCTCTCATTAGGACTGAAGCAACTCAGTACCTATGAGAGAAAATCCAGATGTGGTTGTCAGGCAGCTAGCCATTAGGATAAGGTGCATCTGGGCTAAACACCACCATATTTTCAGCTTGTTGTTTTCTCTCTCTTTTTTGTTTCTCTCCGCACGACTGCGGCCCTTCATTTGTTCGGAGTGCAGCCTGTGTACCTGTGCATAAGGGCAGGTTGCCCAGGCTCGAGAGGAGGCTTATGCAACTGGTATGCTCACTCAAGAGCTCATGGATATGACAGAGACAGGGAATGCTGTCCCCTGAGCCGAGCCTGAGACAACCAATATATGACTGCATGCTAGGATTTAAATGGAGGACCTGGTCTCCAATGAAGATGAGCCTGAAGCTCAGGAAAAATAAACTGGGGCCTGTGTAGCCGCAAGTAAATGACCCGGTGACCCAGCAGGAGATCTTGCCCTGAGAGTCACTGACTAACGCACAACAGATGATTTGGGATGGGACACTTTTTTCTCTACTCAGCTTCCGGCAAATTTGATGAGCCTGCTTCTCAGAGCAGGTCCAATAGGGAACAGCAGCATGCTGGATGACTGACATTAAAAAATTGTTTATGAATACCAAATATATTGCCAAGAATGAATCCAACCGAACTCATAACACAGTTGAAGTTCAAAACAGGCCTGAATTAAGAAACCTCTTGGAGCAAACTACTGTGTAGTGCTGGTTGCTTAATACCACATTAGTGAATGCATGAAATTAGAGAGAAATCCATTCCTGGTACATCCTACTGGGGGAGAAAAAAAAAAGGTAGGAAAGAGAACAGCTTAATTAGGCAAAGATCAAGTTCCTGTGTGAAAAAATATGTAGGAGACTAGGGCAATGGCCAGGCTTCCACGAGATCTGTGCAACCCTTGGATCACCTAGCAGCAGGGGCTGGGAGGGGCACACCACACACTGTCACACGGCCAGCCCATTTCTTTTGAACTAATCAGAGTGTACAATATGGGGATTTTGCTGACTGATGCTTTTCTAGTGTCCAAAATTGCAGTCCAGCAGTCCTCCCCTCCTCCTGGGGCCTGGCTTGAGCTCTGTGTCTGGCTCACACTGCGCACTGGGACCGTACTGTCAATCCCACTGGCAGGGCTCAGCTGAGTGGTGTGGAGATGACTCAGAACTGAGCTGGAGGACATTAAAGACAAGGAAGATCTGGAATGAGGAGAGGCTTAGTAAAGGGCACCATCCTGGCTTCTAGTGGGGAGGGTGGTCCAAGTAGGCATCCTTATAAGCTAAGAGAAATGGGCAAAGAAAAGTTTGTGTCCGAAAAGTATTAGAGAGCGCAGCCATACCAACACAGAGGGACCCCTGGACCACCTGGATTGCTCTCCTACTCTGCCCTCACCATTGAGGTGTCTTGGTATCTAATTTAGCAAAGACCTCAGGCTGCTGGGCAGAACCGGGGATGCAAAACACCCTTCTCTCTGCCTGCCTGGCATACGTGAGCTAAGTCTGTGTTGCTAAGGTAGGGTCTCTACCACCTTCTGCAGCTCTAAAGCTTGCTTTTTTAATACTTACATCTAGTTCATATCTTTATCCTTTCGTACCACAGGTGGCACAATTCTTTGTACGTGCCTTTATATCACTCGAGACCCTTTTTGATAACAGGTGTTTCTATAATCATAGTTATTCTGGAAGGACCTCTTCCAATTTTATATCTGTTCATTCTTGGTCTCACCTGTGGCTTCTGGATCAGTTTTGCCTTGTCTTTACCCCACCTTCTAAATTTAAGCCGTAAGTCCAGTTATTTAAACACAATTATTGTCTCCTTCTCACAGCTTTAAAAACAGACAAATATATCTGATTAATCATTTTTAACTGTACTGACCTACATATCACTTTTTAAAGAAGATGTTTTTGCTGTTGTGCCAGCTACACAATACAAATTCCCTCCTGTGAGAGATCATGGCCTAACGTTTAAGCAAGATTTAATACAATATAGTATGTATAGTGATGATGATAGTGAAACTGAAGATCACAAGGATCACGCTACATGCCCGAGACCAGGTACCCTGCAATCCTGTTTATGACATATGCTGTGCCTCACTAAGAATTCAATTCATGTAGAAAAAGTTGAGTAGGCCTTGAATATAGCTGTATAAAAGATTTTAAAAGACCCCTACAAAGTGGAGTCTGAATAAAGAAATAAAAAACACGCTGATATTTAAAGGGAGAGCAGTATTAAAGAACAAAAGCCCAGGCGGATATGCTGCGCCAGGAACAGAAGACACTGGACAGAACTGAAGTTGCCCTCAAGTTGCCAGGCAACTTCTGTAAACAAGGCAGGGACGAGCACTGCAACACCAACGCAGCAAATCCTTACTCTGAAATTAAACGCATCTTGTGCCTGTTAAAACGAGATCAGGACTGCAGGAGCCACAACGAAAAGGTAACGGGTAAGCCTGCCCTAATTCATAGTTGACTTTATTTTACACCCCTACCCATGTAGATATAAATATAGATTTTATTACCAGTTTCAGTAGAGCTTCCACAAGATTTCAGTGAAATCTGGCAGGACTGGAGCGAACGGTAAGTGTTAATAACAGGGCGAATGAGTACCACGTGGGGCACAAGGAGTTGCAGTGTATTAGTAGCTCGTTGGCTGATGCATTTCAGGGCGTCTGACTCAAAGCAAGTGAGGAAACATCATTACCACTTTTTGGTTGAAGTATGTTGTATGAAATGAATTTGAAGGCCTATGTATGTCACACCAAAACACCTTTCTGAATAGAAATCTCAGCAGCAACACTAGCGGACACTAACAGCTAGTTCCTCCCAGCCTGCACAAAGTTGTTGCTGACTGTCTTTTTCTTTCTCCCTGCTCTTACCCTGTTCTTCATTTTCCTTTTAGCTTTTTTTTTTTTAATCATTGCTAGAAATTTAGACTTTAGCTCAGCAAAGCATTAAACATAGGTTAAAGTCCCACTTAAAGGGGCATTAAAAGGCATTTAGAAATAGGCACCTGGATAGCCAGCTGATTGTTCCATGCTGACATCACTGTTTACTCACTGTTGTCAGTCTTGCAACAGTTGTTGTATTCTTATGCAAACTGATATCTCCCCAAATGGTGCAGTCTTGAAATATAACTTTGAAAAACAGAAATAGAATGTCCAAATTTATAAATATAGGAACTGGAGATAGCTCTTTCTGAAGGAGTGGGACTGATCTTCCTTGTCATGCTCATTAATCCATAGGATTTCAATCTCATGGAAGAACTGATATAGCTCTTCAAACTGATGGTTATGTTTTAAAGGGGTTACTGGCACCAGCAGCAGCAGCATTGGGGTCCCTTCATCAGTGGTGGCAGAGGGAAGACATCAGCCCTTCGCAGCAATTGTCGCTCAGTTGCTGATGACCCTGGTGCGTTGGCTGAGTGCTTGCATGTCCACAAAGGCCTAGCTGTGGCCTTGCAGAGCACAAACACCACCATGCCCTTGCAAGACTTCAGCCACTCTGAGAAACATCAAGTGTATTACCTGAAAAAGTACCTCAGGCAGATAGTTGAGGGCCTGAGTTTCTCCAAGGATGTATTGGAGCAGCAAGGACTGTCTTATAAGGAGTACAACTTCAAACACCTCTATGATGCTTCTGGTGTCATTCAAAAGCCAAAAAGTGCCATTGCTATGCACTTGAAGCGCTCAGTCAAACTCTACCCTCAGAAGCAACCACTTTCTCCTGTGAAAAATGATGGACTTTCTCCTAAGCTCAGAAAGGAGGACAGCCTGTGGGGCTCCAAACTAGAAGCCTCGCCCAAAAAGTTATCTCTACCACCCGTTCCTTCTTGTAAGACACCAGGTGTACAGGCATCCCTGGCAAAGCCCTGTGGGAAGTTATCTGGCTCCCTGACCAGAGGAAGACAGGAAAAGCAGGACTCTGAGAAGAATATCCCAGGATCAGAGAAAATGACGTGTGGAGTGGAGAAAACAGGGCGGGAGAGTCTGAGCAGGATGACAGCTCAATGGACCATGGATCAGCAGAGGGCCAGGGGTGGCTCAGTTCAGTGTAACCCCCTTGACTTTGGAAAGCAGAAGTTTGCCGGGAACACAATCAGGGATGAGCTTTGTTCTGACAGAAGTTTGAAAATATTGGATGATATTCAGGGCAAAGGAAGTGACACGGAAATCATATCCCAGACTCAAGCTGAGAAGACTCCTGGGACAGTCCTCCCCATCTCCTGCAGGTATGGAGGAGACATCTTATTTTGTACTGTCTGCCCCGTGGCTGTTCCCCATTACTACTGCTTGTGTTTAGGCATCGCGTGGTGCATCATCTATATTTCTGCAGGGAGAGGCACGGAGGCTTTATGTCCTTGAGACAAAGATGGCCTTTCACTCTGGTAGCATGATGAGGTGCGTGACAAGAGGCCATTTTGCACTGTGATTTTTCCACCTTTGTGCTCGCTGAGGACTTCATTTACAATCAGTCTCCTAAAGATCTCTTACACTTTTGCTGTCTCCGGAATGACTTTCATGATCTGCATAGATATGGCCTTTTATTGTCTATTTGAGCATCTCTGAAAATTAGAATTTGTGCACAAAAGACAAGTGTATCCCTCCCTCTTCTCTAGGTACTACACATTTGTATTGAAATATGTTCTGGCATTTTCAGGTCATCCCTGATACACATTTGTTTAAACATCGTGTTTTCTAATCTCTTATTGATGGCCTCTGAATCCTTTCCCACTTCTTTGTACATTTTTTGAAGTAGGACCCCAAAGTCTCGCCTAGCTCCCCAGAATGGGCCTCACTAGTTATTCATGAATCCATTACAGAAAGAGATTTGCCCTTCTGGCCGTCAGCCTCATGCCATTGACCCGATTACTGTGTGGGTTATCATGAGTGGAGAGGTCCAAGATGTGAACGCAGCATGTGGTGAGAACAAAACTGCACAGAGGAAGTGCCCTGTGGCAGATAATGTATGATCACTTAGAGGAGCAGAGTTGTCTCGTGCATAGCACAGACTGCGGTAGAAGTGTGTTCTTGGACTACTCCCCTTTCATCCCAGTGGTTCCCAAGTCTATAGCGGTGGTATGTTTCTTTTCTAGTGGGCCGCCTGGTTATTACTCAAGAGTGCTGTCAACTGATGATCCTGCCGATACAAATGTTACAGCTGACGACACAGAAATAAAGTGTCTGAACCCAGAATCGTCTATGCAGAGACATGTGATCGCCCGTGTTGGGAAATACAGCTATACCCCCAAGAATGCTTTTGAGCAGGAGCTTTACTTTGGTAAGGTAAACGTGACCTGGCACAAGCTCTTACATCTTGTTTAATGAGTAGGTCCATAAAGATGGGGTCTAGCACTTAACCAGAGGAACAGTTGCTTCCAAGCAAGTACTGGGCACTGTAAAATGTGGAGAATGGGTCAACGTTTCATCCAAAAGGACCAGCATGACAGTAGACAACCTGTTGCTCTTGAACACCATGAAGCTCTGAGGTGGTTCACATTTGGCTGCTATGCCAGAGCTATGCAGCAGTGGGGCTGTACTAGCTGAGTGGTTGCTAATGAACCCTCACCTCTGGGTGAAGGCAAACAGGTATCGTGTGCCTCAGCCACAAGAAGAATTTTAGCATACAGCCTGTAAATCAAGAAGTTTGGCCTTGCCTGGGCCAGTGGCTCAGAGCATTGCAAGGTGCTTGGCAGGTCATCACAATTTAAGCCCATTTCAAAAGTCAGTGACCAGTTTGTCAGTGGCTTGGAAACCGGTTCTACATAAAGCTTGCTCATCACCCCAAGAGGCTGTAGCATGTCCTGGGCTCTATTAAGCCTTAATTGCTAGTTTCAGTCCACACACAGAATACAGAGATGATTTGGAATTGGAGACTTTGTCTCCATTCCTAGGTGATACTTTTGCAGATGGCATGGAGCTACGTCCCTTGATTTGAAGTGACTGGTAGACCTCTTTTCTCCCCTTGAGCCCTTAGGTCTGGAGTTCATGTCTCCTCTCTGTCCAGCTTCAGTGACACATGTTATATCTGCTGAGGGTTGCACCTATTTTCCTGGGATAGTAAGTGCTAGGCAATTACAGAATAACATAGGCCTCAATTTAGTATTCAATAAGATTTGATATTTATTGCTGTTTTTTACTGGCTAGTTGTTGTGGATCTACCTATCACAAATAATTTTGAACTATTGAAAAATACACAGAGACTGAAGGAGGGATTCCTTAAAGAGACTCTCCTTATTTCATCAGAGTGCTGCCTGAAAGAGTTTGTGGATCATGACTTCAGGTAATAAGATCACAGAGGCAGAAAGAGAATGGAGAAAATGATTGCTCTTTTTCCCCTGTGTATTTACTGAATGGCACCATGTTATGACAGCATGTTATAAACCAAGAAAACCATTCAGAGGGAGCCAAATGTGACTATGAAACCAAAATATTGACAGGAGGGCCTGAGGTCAGTTTTATTTAGCCTTTGGATGACGTTTTCAGCGGGAATTCCAGGCAAATTTGCAAGAGGCTTTTGCTGAGGTGGGCACCAGAGCTTCACAGTTCCGCTCTCCCTTCACCTTGACTCCTGCAAACCTCTTCACCACCTTTAAGTCATTTTGGAAGCCCCTACCTCATGCAACCACTTCAGTGCATGCACAGCAATTAAGAGCAAATAGTGGAGGCACTCCTGTTTTGATATATGCTGACAGACTTTGCAGACCAGAGACCTCTTTTACAGGGAAGCTCTACAGGTAGCATCTGTTCCTTTGCATACACAGGCACTGCAAAGATTGTCCATCAGGTGGATGAAAGGATGAAGGACCATTTCATCCTGGACAACTATGATCAATACTGCAAACATCTCCAGCAGCCTTTCCCAAGACAACCTGAGTGCTGGGGTTGCAAGCCACAGAGGAGGGCAGGTAAGAGACCATGGCTCAGTTTGTATGATGTGGAGAACTTTCAATTCTTGCATCTCGGTAACTGTCTGCTTGATTCTGAAATGGGGTTGTCCTTGGGAGATCACTCCTGTTCTCTGTTTCTGGCTTCCACTGCTATAAAAAGGTGGGTGTTCCTAAGAGCTACTTGAGAAAGCAATATGATGACTCCTGTGGTGTGCCTTTTGAAGTACCACAGAAATTACTGTGAGTTCAAAAGAGTCCAGGGGCATCCAGTTGGTTGAAGAAGTCAGTGGCGGATATTCAGATACACAGGGTAGAGCGAAGCCTACATGCTCACCTCATGTGCATACGCCTGCACATACATCAACACACTATACAGGCAGATTCTCTTCTAGCGGCAGCACAAGGAAGGATTACAGCCTGGATCTATCACGTAACAGATCTGGCTCTGGTTCTCCCTCATCCTGAAATTCTTGTTAAATGAGAAGTGATCACCTCATTCTCACTTAAGCTCAAGCTATGATTTGCTTGGCTAAGATTGGTCAGTACAAAAAATGATCTACAGCTTACATTTTTTTGCTCCCAACTTCCCGCACCTTCTCTGATCATATCAGGGAAGGCATTCTCAAGGGAGAAGTCCCAGTTTTTCTGCCTCATTTCAGCAGCAACACTGCTGTTGCTGCTTTGGACTGATCCTGGAGGTGCTTGGGATGTACATCATAACACCCCTTTGAAATGTCTTTTTACTCTGACTCGTTCAGGTTGTAGATAATGTAGGGTACTGCTAATCTCTTTTAACAAACTCTTTTTGAGCAGCTTGGAGACCCAGGAAGGGAGCCTTGAGATGGATTGCTCTCCCTACTTTAACTCCTTATATTGTGCATAATGAAGAGGAATCACCTCCTACAAAGGCCAGGGAAGTACAAAAGGAGTCCCAGGGCAGTAATAAAGAAGTGCCTTGGGATATACAAGTCCTCAGGACTATGCTGGAGCAGTGGAAGGATGCCTGGAACCTGCGTGAGTGGACTGTTCTGTTGAAAACCTAACTGGTCCATAATGAGCCCAAATAGTTACTAGTTTGCTCAATGATCCTTGTGAAAAGAATTGACAGTGTCAGGCCTGTCCTCAAAAACGCTGTTCTATTCCTACATTTTTACAAGCAAGTAATTGCTGTGATCCTAAGAGATTCATGGTGTTTACTGTGAATCTTCTACCAGTGCAGATGTCTTTTCTCCTGGAAATCTTTAAATGATTAGTTCAAGTGACTTTGATGAGTTCAAGTGACCCACAGATGGGTTTCCCCTGCTTCCCTTACTGAGGCGAAGGGGGTCAAATACTACCTGGTGTGGATGCAGGGGGCTGGGGGAGAAATGCGTTTATCCCTCTGCTAAGTAGAGATTGTATGGTGGGGGTAGACAAGTTCCCCCAAGCCTAAACCTTCTGCCTGTGGCTGCTCTCCACTCCTGCATGGCATAGCCTGGACATGACTCAGATTTCCAGTGCAGCACTGTGGTTTACCTGAGGACATAAAGAGAAGCTGAGCTCCTACGTAGGTTACATAAAGATGCCATCTCTGGGGCAAGGAAACAGAAAACGAGGGCTACTGTGGGAATGGTGAAAGTCTCCTTTGCATTTCTGATGAATCCATCCCAGGCAGGTCCTGAAGGAGGTCTCTGGAAGATTGCCATGCTGGTTATCCAAACACATTTTCCTCTCTGATGCCAGATCCCCAGTGGCGAAATATCACAACAGAAGGTTTAATGAGGTCTCTCACAAGTGTGCACGACATCAGTAGAATCAAGGCTATCATAGCTTGTGCGTCTGCCGCAGTCGAACAACATGGACGGAAAACCAGCCTTCAGGAGTTCAATGAGAGAAGCTCCCACTTGCAGGCTGCTGATCTGCACGTGGGTATGGGAGACTTTAACTGTTATGAAACATTATCCATGTGTGAAAACAAGGGCAATTGCATGATACCTCATTATCAGCATTACTCCTCTATAAAATTGTCAGTACCCAAAAAGGGTACTTTTGGACCTACTGTTATAAAAAGCCATTTCATAAATAAACACTCTACATAAACACTGTAATCTAAGGCAGTTTAGAAATAAAGGGAATCGAGTGAACTTAATTTCCACCCACCTCCTACTTGATCTTATATACAGTGCTGGAGAGTGGGAGACCATGAGAGCGATGGCTGTGTTGTTAACTTAGCACAAATGGCTTTCTTTTACAAGTTTTGCAAAAGATGTCTTGTGTGCTCTTGACTAAGCTACATCAACTTTTCCTTGCTAACCTTTGTCCGTGGAATAAGTATAAACATAGTTTTTTACCTTGTCATGGGTGGCAAATTGAAATTTGCTGGTACTTGGTGAAATATGGAGATCTTCAGTGCTGGTAGACATTAGAGATCGACAAAGTGTTGCTTTTGCAAGCATATTTGTAGCATTATTATGTGTTCCATATTCCATTATTATTATCATGAATTCAAGCATACCATTTAGCAAGTGCATGGAAAATGTGTTCCTGCTTTTATAGAGAGAAAAAAGCACAGGGCAGATACATCGCTCTCTTATTCAGAAATTATATTTCTTCAGTTGCAGTAACAGACAGTGCTGGAAAGTCCTCAGTAACCCATGATGGGCTTGCAGAACTACAGCCGTTACTTAGAGAGACCCTGCGGGACGAGAACGCCCATGTGAGAATGGCATCTGCACTGTGTCACTATGCTATTGGGAAAAGGAATGAGGAAGCACAGTCAATCCTGAAGGATGCTCTGGCACATGGTAAAAGGGCTCTGTGGCTGCTTCCCTGTCATGTTTACTTTTCTTCTAGCTCTTCAGCTAGGTCAGAGTCACCATTTTGGGATTATAGTCTGTCTCCTGGAAAGGCTATATATGTAGCCCTGGTAGAACCAACCATTGCCAGTCTTGTTAGAGCCAGTCACAAGCAGAGGTCACTGCAAAATTCATGTGGATAACCTTTCACAGAGCTAGGTGTGCTGCTTCCAAGTGTTTCCAACTCCTCCAGCTCTGCCAAGATGGGTAGTGAAATGGATATTTTCTATAAAAGAGCATTGCAGTGTGGGACGTCACAATGAGCACTTCACCAAATTCAAATACAGTTTTGATAGGCTGAGTTTCTATCAGTTCAGCCATGCAGCTATCAGTCTTCCTGTTCTTGCTGTTTGCCCCTTTGAATGCAAAGGAAACATTTAGGTTATGTACTTCTATATTATATTATCCCTTGCTAGATTGCAGCAGGATTGCAGCAAGTATCCAGAATTCAGTCAAAGCACTCCTCCCACCACCACTCTTTCTGGCCTGGATTAAAGGCTGGACTCCTCTTTTGAGGTAGCACACTCTGGGCAAAATCCAAAGTCTTTCAGGTCTTACATCCTAGCTGTATCCATTTCCTAGTTTAAGGGGCAAATTTTATTTTTGAAGCTGTCAGGTCATGTTCTATAAAGAAAGATAAACAAACATAATCCATCTTCACCAACTTGTAACTCAAAAAGTATCTGAAACTCTCCAGTGAGAGGCTTCACTTTCCCATATGCCTCAGGGACCTACTTCCTTCGGGAACACCTCACACCTGACCCATTAGTTTTGAGGGTCACTGTTTAATTCCAAAAGATATTTTGATCACAAAGCGACCACATCCATTCCCTAGCGCTCAGAGAGTGAGAACTTAGGTTGTGAAATGGCTGTGAGGTCTTCTACATGCCAGGGTGCCAGGCTGGGGCGGGGGGCTGGACCTGAATCACCACAGCAGGTGACATGGCCAGCAGCTATCACCCTCCGCAGTAACTTCCTTTCTCTGTTTCCCTGCCGACAGGCAATTCTGCAGACAGCTGGGCAGCGGCGCAATGCCTGGCTCTGGAGAGCACCGTCGCTATGCCGGTAGTGACGAAGCTCCTTTCTCGGCTGTTTGAGAAGAGCGATGCAGCTGCAGAGGAGCAGGCGTGCCTGCTGCTAGCTCACCTCGGTGAACGCACGGTAGGTGCAGCCCCCGGGACAGGGAGAGGAGCGACAAGAGGCGACGGAGGCGCACGTCTTGCAGCAGCCCTGCATTCTCCTCTCTGTTGCTCAAGGTCAAATTTGTCTCCACATGTTTGTCCTGCACATGGGGCATATTCTGCGCTGAGCAATGAGGTGAGCGAGGGCAGGACGTATTTTGCAGTGGTTTATCTCCATTGTACCCAGAGCTCTACCTCAGCTCTCCCAGGTCATTTGAGAGCTGAAGTGACCTGTCCCTCAGTTACACTTTAAAACAGTATATTAAGGCAGGGGCCACAGGAGGCTGGAGGTTGCAGGCGGCTCAAGTGTTGCCCCCAGCCAGCTCTCCAGCACAATTTGGGTGTGCTGGGTTACATGATGGAAGAGGGGACTACACTGGGCCTCGTCCTACCACTTCAGCCCTCGGCCTTCGGGCAGCAAAGCAGCCAGCCCGGGCCGGCCCGGAGCGCCGGCCTTGGCTCCGCGTGGGCCTCAGCTCTGTGGGACACTACCCTAACCCCCGCTGTGCTCATTTCCAGCCCTTGGTGCGCTCCCTGCTGACAGCCCAGCTGAACAGCCCCCGCTGGACAGCCCGGGCCCGGGCTTGCCGGGCTCTCCCCGGTGCCGGTGGGCACTTCAGCCAGGTAAGCAGGGGGCTATGGTGGCCCCGCTCTTCTTCCCACCATGAGGACGGAGCTGGCAGAACCTGCTGGGGTCTTGGCATCCCCTCCTTGGTCAAGAGCAGGCCCTCAGCCACACCACCGGTTTGCAAAGGACAGCAGGAGATGCCTCCTGTGTGCTCTCACCCCACATCGCTCTTCCTGAAACCTCTGCTGAAGACAGGCCATCCCAAGTATTTCTATTGCTGCATACCAAAAGGCTTGCAGACGTGGGGTTTCCCTCCCCACCCCACGCACCAGCAAAACTCTTGAAGGTGAAGGGGCATTGCTGGCATCCTCCCTCCCCCAACTGCCACCGCAGCAAACTGGGGCTTGCGGCAGACACAGTGTATCTCTGCCCCCAAACGAAAAGGTCAGGCACTTCCTCTGAGCTCTTTCCAAAGCCTTTCCGCACAAATGTCTTTCAGGGAACGGGCTAGTAGGCTGGAGGGCCAAATCAGTACTGCCCCCGAGTGGGGAGAAGCACCTACTTCACTCCTAGCAACCTGGCTTCAGCATCTCTTGTCAACTTCTTGATTTTCCCTGTACATTGGCTGGGGTTGCTATACAATTACCACTACTTCTTAAATTAAGTTTACTTTTAAAACATCTCACCTGTTCTGCTGTCTGTTAAACATGATGTGCACCCTCTCTTTGGGGGACTCTTCTAGGTGAGATTACTCAGGGGGAAGATGTGTCTCTAATTACTCTAACAGCTAAATCTCAGTAAATAATTAAGTAAAATGTAGTCAACAGCCTTCGTCCTGAGAACCAAACTAAGTACCCAGGCTTTTTGCTAGACAAAATAAATCGGCAGTTTCTATGTATCCATCAAGGCAGACGCGAGCATAAGCAAAAGCCAAGTTCTGTAGGAGTTGAGTGTATTAGTACCAGGAAGATAAAACCCCAGAGGTTCCTGGCGGGTTGCTGGTGGGAGCCTTTATCTTCCCTGGACCACTGCAGGACATCTTATTATAACTGAGATGTATACGTTGCTCAGCACTCGCCTCCTGATGCTCCAAGTGAAGATGGTGGTGAAACTCCCCCAACTTGAATGAGAGTTGTACCTTTGGCTTTGGCAGCAGCAGAGTTAAAGCTAGAGTAACCCAAACATCTTTTGAAAATCCCTTCCTGAAGTAGGCCAAAGCTTACTGCTGATTAATGCTGCAGCATTCCCGTCTTACCATCTTGTATAGGACCTAACGAATAAGCTTTCCCAGCTGATGTGGAAGGACTGGAACGCAAGAGTACGCCAGGCAGCTACTCTGACGCTGGGGCACATGAAGCTTGCAAAGGAAATCCATGATCAGCTCAGGTAAGCATTAACCAGTGTGGCAACTTCCCTGTTTCAAAAGAGAGATCAGTTCAGACCTCATATAAGTATGAGGTATTTTGTGATCCCAGTCTGTGTTAACCCCCCAGTTTTCAAGGTTATATGTTACTCAGGTGCTTTTAGTTACACCCATATGTGTTGTAAGGGCCTCATTTGCACAGACTTCTGCAGTACAAGAGTAACTGCCTACATGTGTAAACAAAGAGATTTTTGCTAGGAGGTGATTGACATGGGGTTCAGGCTCGACTGTGATCTAGAATGTGTATGAACATGAAGTGTATTCACTTTCCACACCAACAGGTAAGTGGGGAAATCAGGTGAGCAATAGGGCTCAGCAACAACTCTTTCAGCTTGGGAAAACAAGCCATTCAGGAGGAAACTTTATACACCTAAGAGAAATCTTCAAGTCAAATAAGTCACAGACAGTAACTTCAGAAAAAATGAAAGAATTTACTAAAATTGAACCATCTGCCTATGAGCGTTTCCCCACTTTCAATGACTTTTAACTTACAATATGATATGGAGCCAGTGACCTACAAAGGAATCTGCAACAGGACAGGTGGCAATATGAAGCCATGAGTGTAAAAGGTTTTGGCTGAGATCTGGGTAATTCTTATGTGCCAGGCAGAGCGCAAGTCCTGTAAACCAATCGCAGCAGCCCATCGCTAAGACCTGCTTTGTGCTCTCAGGGTGAAGCTGACCACCGGAAACTGCCAAACAAAAGTGCAAGCTCTCTCTTTGATCAGGGAGCTGCAGTTCATGACAGCCAAGTTATTTCCAGGCTTTCTGCAGTGCTTCTCCAGTGACTTTGTTGCAGTGCGGAAGGAAGCCTGTCTTACAGCCGGAGCCCTTGGGATTAAAGATGAGCGTGTGAGTAGTTAAAAAAGATCAACATAGTTCCCGAATGCAAAAAAGAAAAAAAAAAGTCTTTTATTAATGATAACTGAGTTCATTCCTGGGACTGCTGATACTAGAGTTAAATAACTGTGGCTTGCAAATGTTTCTTGCTAGAAAGGATTAAAAAAAACAAATTTGTTTCCTAAGCGCTGGGGTATCTGCGTAGAAGTCAATAAAAACTGGCTCAGGGTCCAGGAAATGGGGCTGTCTGTCTTTCCCATGCTCCTAGGTCCTCACCAGGGTTCAAAACAGTTCTCCAGGAAGCTTGGAAAGGCTGGGCAGTCTTTTAGAGTCCTCCTTTTACATTTGGGTTCATCCCAAATCCCTTCCCCATTTCAGACTAAAAACTGCTCCTGCGGGCTTCCACTTTCTGCACAGCATGCACGTACCCCATTGTAAATCTCACACAGCTCTCACTGTAAATCAAACACAAGAACGTTTGGGAATGTCAGTGACAGAAAGGGAATAGCGAAGCGTGGGAGCAAAACATGCTATACTTGGAGGACCACGCAGGCTTGGGATGGAGCAAGGGAGCCTTCTAGAGGCTAAACTCACAGGGCTGTACTGCTTCCAATCTCTCAGCATTAAAGCCTTCTATACTCTATCGAAAGAAATGCTTTGTAGCATTTTCCATTTCCTCTCTCCATATCACAATTCAAATTCCAAGATGTCCCCTCTCAACTGCCTCTATAACCTTTCATCATGCCCCATGAAAACTTGCATCAAATTTTCCAATTCCTGAGCCGCACAGCAAATTTGCCAAGTCAGAGCTTGGCTTTGTCTTCAAATGCCCCCTGCGTAATGGCCACTCCCTGCCCTATGCACAGCTCCACTCGCTACTTGTCTGGCCTTTTTTCCCCCAACTTGTACCACTGCTTGTCGGCTCTTCAGGACAGAAGTTTATCCATCACTTGCTGGGAACTTGTGGAGCACCACATGCACGTCTCGCCCTACATAAAGCACTGTGACAATATGCGCTAACAGTTGTACCCTTCTATTGCAGGTCCTTCAGTTTCTCTATGAGATGATGCAGTACGATCCTCATTGGAAAATCAAGGTTTTTGCCATCAGAGGTATTGCAGAACTCATTAACAAACCAGCTCCTTAGAAGGCAATTTCAGCCTGTCCTCAGGATTTTATCCTTTTTTTTTTTTTTTGGTTGATTTCTGAAAATTTTAAGATCCCAAATCTGAAAGTTAAATGCCAGGCATGACAAACATGCAGACAGAAAAATCAGGCAGTATTGATCATACTGTGGCAATGGCAAACAGAGTGCTGATATGGTACCTGGATGTAAATATTTTTCGTAGCCTATGACCCTACAAACACTAGTTTTAAGTTTAAATATAACTATTTTTGTGTAGGAGCCACGTTGGGATTTTCATCACTCTTGCACAGAAACAAAAACCTTCTTCCGCCCTTCTGTCAGCAGCTGCCAATAACCGGTATTTTTGCTGCTTACTGTGCTCTTGCTCTCAGCACCTCTGCGCTGCCACGCTGTTCGAGGCAAGCCTAGCTGCCAAACGCCACCAGAAAAACATTTTTGTGGATGAACTTTTATTATAGCTGGGAGCAGGGCACGATATCCCAAAACACTGCAATCCGGGAAGAGGGATCATTTCTATGAGTACTTTTCTGCTTTCATAACCAGTTCCTAAGTTCCAGTGCCGGGGACAGAACACACAGATAACCCCTGCAGTCTCCTAAAAATCCCATGCGCATGTCTTGAGCTTCCTAATCCCCAAGGATAGAATTCCTAGCAGGAGACACCTTCTCTCAGCACTCGCCTGTTAGGTAACTGTTTTATATACCAGATCATCTGGTGTTGACCCAACATGAAGGGTCACTTCTGCAAGAGAAGAGGGGGAAATATATTGTGCAACTCACCATCCAAATCCCTAATGTAATGCGGCCTTGCTAGAAAAGCTGTA